GTCTTGAACTCATGGCGATCCTGATCCTCCTGTCTCAGCCTCCCAAGTGCTGGGATTATAGGCGTATACCTCCACATGTGGCTCAGCTCAGCCATTCTACACCCTAGGGTGTAGAGGACCCACCCTAGGGTGGATAGTCACCTGCACGGTATAAAAGGGCAATGAGGAAGGACAGACTATCTGCTGTTCTTTGGAGGAGTTCCAGCCTTCACCTTCAGCGTGGACGTTGTCTCCTGGCTTGCAGCGCAGACTCCTGGGCTTTTTCCTTGGATCCTTCAACCTTCTGCTGCAGACCCATCGGCCTCCTGATCCAGACTTGCACGGAACAGGTCAGTGAACTCCAGACCTTGGACTGAAACCTTCGGCCTCCAGTGTGCAGATACCCTCTGCACACTTCCTCATCCAACTCTGTGGAGACCATCGTACAGGGAGAAGGAATGGAATTTGAAGGAAGAAAATCCATTCCAGAGACAAAGTAGTTCCCCTCCTGTGTTGTAGCTGTTCCTCTGGTAATATACACTTTCCTGCCTTCAGGTTCTGCAGCATTCCAGACCACGAGCACCGAGTCAGGGTGGGAAAGAGACACTGTGTTCCTCCGCTCGAGCCCAGGTTGGCAGCAGGCTGTTGTGGGGCCAAGACGCCCAAACTGTCTGCCAGTGGGACACACAGCCACAGGAGCCAGTCCACTACTGCCCCCAGCACTAGTGCAGGACCTCTTCAACACCACCAGCAGGCGGACAGAAGCCGTAGGCGGGAGAACGTGTCGGACTGAACTCTGGGACCTGGAAACTCTCCCATCACAAGGATGAATCGTGCATCAGGAGCGCTGAGCCCTCTCCCCCGGCCCAGCGGAACTGCCAGTGCCGCGAAGAATTTGGTGGTGACCGCAGAGATGTGCTGCTACTGCTTTGATGTACTCTGCTGTCACCTCTATGGCTTCCCACAGCTGCGACGTCCTAGATTCACCAATGACCCCTATCCGCTCTTTGTGACATGGAAGATAGGGCGGGACAAGCAGCTTCGTGGCTGCATTGGGACCTTCTCGGCCATGAATCTTCACTCAGGACTCAGGGAATACACATTAACTAGTGCACTTCAGGACAGCCGATTCCCCCCGGTGACCCGAGAGGAGCTGCCTAAACTTTTCTGCTCTGTCTCCCTCCTTACTAACTTTGAGGATGCCAGCGATTACCTGGACTGGGAGGTAGGCGTCCATGGAATTCTGATTGAATTTATCAACGAAAAAGGCATCAAACACACGGCCACATACCTGCCTGAGGTTGCTAAGGAACAAGACTGGGATCAGGTCCAGACAATAGACTCCTTGCTCAGGAAAGGTGGCTTCAAGGCTCCAATTACCAGTGAATTCAGAGAAACGATCAAAGTCACCAGGTACCGAAGTGAGAATGTGACAGTCAGTTATGCAGAGTACATTGCTTCTCGACAGCACAATTTCCAGAGTGGCACTCTTCATGCCCCGCCCCTCTACAATCATTACTTCGGACACAAGGCTGCATGACCAGTCCCACCACCCTGTGGCCACCGATGGCTATGACATCATTGGAGCAAATGCCTCCTCTTCCTGGTCCAGTTACTTCTATTACTGCACCATTTTAGGATGCTAGCTTCCGTTGCCAAGTCTACCTCCCACTGACTGAGGGGGTGTGGGGTTTACACTGCATGAAACAGAACTTGAGGGGCGCAAGCCTTATCTCAGCCTTTCCTCAGTATGGGGTTCCATTGGACTGGGGCTTCTCCATGACTAGCTGTGTGGGTGCTTGTAGTGAATTGACAACTGGTGGTCAACTTATAACCCCCAGCTGAACTGAGTAAGCGTGCTGCTAGGTGTGGGAGGACCACCTGAGGACTGTTGCCAGCAGCATAAGAGACAGACCTGGAGAAGAAGAAAGGCTTTTGGGAACTGAAGAGGCTGCTGGGAGCA